CTCTTTTCTTGGTGTTTTCTTGGCGTTGTATAAGTTTGTGTGTGTGTGTGTGTGTGTGTGTGTGTGTGTGTGTGTGTGTGTGTGTGTGTGTGTGTGTGTGCGCGCGCGCACAATAATATGAAAACAAATAATTAATCCTGGGCTCTCCATTATTCTCTTTCGATTCTTGGTTTTTTTCTAGGTATTTTCTTGGCGTTGTGTGGGTGTGTGCATGTGTGTGTGCGTGCACAATAATTTGGCAACACCACATGATTGAGATATTGTAATTTGCAGCGTCTGCGAAGAGACCACTTGATTTGAGGATGGTGTTTGTAGGGTTTTTCATGTAATGAAGTGGCTGCAGTGGTGCCTCAATACATATTTTTTTTATCTTGAGAAGTGAATGATGTAAAGGATTAAAGGGAGAGACCGCATTCTGGTTAATATTCACTGCTTACAGCAGATCCTATGTCTATTTTCGAACTCGATAGGGGATGCCTAATTGGCTGGACTTTATACAGGGGGTGTAGTCCACATAAAGACTCTTTATAGTTGATTTCAAAGTTTGGACTCCGTACAGTTGATTTTGGACCAATGGACTCTATATAGGGGTGAAGCCAATTGGCTGGACTCTATACAGGGAGTGATGTCCATCGAAACTTTGAGCTCACAGTTGATTTCAAGTTTGGACTCTGTACAGTGGATTTTGGACCAATGGACTCTATATAGGGGTTGGACATCATATAGGGGCTGGACGCTCTACTGAGTCCAACACATATATTATGCCAGCCAAGTGACATCCCTGCAAATGTTGCTCTCACTGCTTTCTGTGCATATGCTACCAGTAAGCCCTTTCGAATAGGTGCACCCTGCTCTTGCCTCACCACAAGTCTCCAGCGAGACGTCCGCCTCACACCTATCTGCATTTTTAAGCCCAGCTGCCTTCGTGATCTCGGCACCTATGCCCGCGACAGAAAACAATGGAGTAACATCTGCTTAGCCATTTAGTTTAGTACTGCTCTTCTTAAATTTGACCTTTATTACTAGTAAATAATCGACGCGGAGACAACAATTTTATAATAGCTATAAAGAGAACAAATTCTGCTGTCATCGCCACACTACAACAAAGTCATGAAGGTTTACCAAAATCGATTTTCTTGTCACAATCATCAGTGGAAAGCCGTGACTGAAGAATAACCATGCCAAATCAATACTTTATATACATTTAATAAATGTGTTACGAGAACGAAACAAAGTGCTAAAAATAGAATGAGGGAAGGTGAGACAATAGAAGTAAAGTGAGAGCTAAGTGCAACAGGGGTGAGGAACTAATTGCAACGCTAGACCTGTGTAGTTAGACAAACAATCATGCTGTGCACCTACGAAAACAATCTTAACGCAACTACATGTTTCTTCTGCTTACAAAGATCAGGCTTATGCAAACGAATACAAACAGCCTCAAGTACTTTCAACTGACTAGCGTACCGTGCACGACAAAGAACAGAAAAACTAAAATCATCATACACCTGCAGACACTTAGGGTGAGACAACAGATGAAGAAAAACGGCAGACTTCTTGCGATCACAATCACCATCCGATTCCTCGTCTCCACCAACCGCAACCTCGTCCCCCGTCTCATCTTCCAACTCGTCCTCAGTGTCGTCCTCCGTGTCATTCTCCTCATCACCACCGATCGGTCCCAGGCTCGCTTCACTTTGCTGAACCTCTGTTCGTTGACTCCTCCTTTGATCTTGATGGTAATTTGTTACCATTGTTGTTGTTGTCATTGTTGTTGTTCCTGTTGTTGCCAAATCTTCTGTTCCCAGTGTCTTCGCCGGTGCTTGACATCCAGTACTGTAATAATTCATTGAATAATTAGCCGTTGATCGTCTAGGTCTTTGAATGTTGATCATGTTGTTTTCTCTGTTGAATTCCGTTTCCTTCAGCTTTCTTTCTTCTAGTTCATGTTCAGTGCTTACCTCATCCATATTTGCCCGTGCCAGCGACACCACAGACTCAGCCCCAGCACTGCCGATGGCAGATGCAGGTGGCGGTTCTGGGGGAGGCAATGGCAACGATGGCGATGGGGGCACCACCATGATCACCTCGCCGCAGCGTCCACTTTGGTCTTGAGCTGGATGTTGTTGTGGTGTACTTTCTTGTGTTGTTATGGTGCATTGTGTTATAACGTTAGTGACAATGTGCACATTATCCATCTCCACGGCTCTCGATACGGGTAATGGAGGCACTATTGCCGTCGACGGCAATTGTGCTAACGATGGCTCTGGTCGAGGGTTCTTAGGTGGCCTGCCGCGTTTGGGTCGCAGTGCCCGTGCCGAGCCAGTCAGCATGTGCAGTGGGACGTGCTGCTTGATACGTGCGTTCAGATGTTGAAGAGTCCTACCAACGTACCGACTACCGCATTGTCGGCACTCAAATTGGTACAGTACTGGATGTCAAGCACCGGCGAAGACACTGGGAACAGAAGATTTGGCAACAACAGGAACAACAACAATGACAACAACAACAATGGTAACAAATTACCATCAAGATCAAAGGAGGAGTCAACGAACAGAGGTTCAGCAACGTGAAGCGAGCCTGGGACCGATCGGTGGTGATGAGGAGAATGACACGGAGGACGACACTGAGGACGAGTTGGAAGATGAGACGGGGGACGAGGTTGCGGTTGGTGGAGACGAGGAATCGGATGGTGATTGTGATCGTAAGAAGTCTGCCGTTTTTCTTCATCTGTTGTCTCACCCTAAGTGTCTGCAGGTGTATGATGATTTTAGTTTTTCTGTTCTTTGTCATGCACGGTACGCTAGTCAGTTGAAAGTACTTGAGGCTGTTTGTATTCGTTTGCATAAGCCTGATCTTTGTAAGCAGAAGAAACATTTAGTTGCGTTAAGATTGTTTTCGTAGGTGCACAGCATGATTGTTTGTCTAACTACACAGTTCTAGCGTTGCAATTAGTTCCTCACCCCTGTTGCACTTAGCTCTCACTTTACTTCTATTGTCTCACCTTCCCTCATTCTATTTTTAGCACTTTGTTTCGTTCTCGTAAAACATTTATTAAATGTATATAAAGTATTGATTTGGCATGGTTATTCTTCAGTCACGGCTTTCCACTGATGATTGTGACAAGAAAATCGATTTTGGTAAACCTTCATGACTTTGTTGTAGTGTGGCGATGACAGCAGAATTTGTTCTCTTTATAGCTTTATTACTAGACTCTTCTTTTCTTTTTCATTTCGTTCTCCCACTCTCACACACACATGCTCGCAGTTAATTCTGCCGTCGTGAGTCCCATTCGGGACGGATACGAGAATAATAATAATAATAAACTCCCTCATTGATTTTTTCCATCTTCTCTTTGTGCCTTGTTTATGATTGTATTTTCCTCTTCCTTCTTTTCTTATATCACCAACTTCATCATTTTGCGAGAACTGTGGCAATACGCCCATTGAGAAGGCAGATTTTGGCTGTGCTTCTGGTGAAGTAAAATAAAGCTAAACAATCAAACAAACAAACTTGCTTTCAAACAAGAAATCTGCTCACTGCTGATTAACTCAATCTGCTCCTGCAGCGCTCACCATCTCCCATACTTGTTAAGTTCAAAGTGATGTAAATCACTTTCCAACTGTTTAACCCACAATCTCACCTTCTCATCAATTTATCTCTTATTGGCGATGGTGCCATCGTGAGAATAAAGAATTCAAACTTACAACTCTAGCTCATTGCACTACACTGACTGATGGTGCTGACGTCATACAAATAACTGGCTAATAGCTCTAGCACATCTTGGATACGCACTCCAACAGCCTTCCAACTTCGGAGGTTCTAAGTTATAGAAATAACATAAGGAGGGGAAGCTGAGCGCAACCAAGATAAGCACGAGTTGAAAGTCTCAGCCGTGAAGGACTTTGGCAGATGTTCTCGCATGTCCATGCCGATACTGGCAAAACCATTGGACAATACGGTCAACCCACGATTCAAGTTGGAAGGCGGTGGGAGTGCACATCCAGGATGTGCTAGAGCTATTAGCCAGTTATTTGTAGAACTTCAGTATGGTCGGTCAGTGTCGTGCAATGTTATTGCATGAGCTGAGTGTGTAGTAACTGGTGGTGTTATTGGACATTATAGAGTAACTTGCAGTTCTTTGGTCCTTTTTCTTTTCCATAAATTAACAGGGCCTGACGGTATTTCTGCTTGCGTCCCTAAGGAATGTGCTCATGAGCTCGCATAGCGACTGTCCAAATTATTTGCTTTATGCTTCCGGTTTTGAGTACAACCTAGGATGTGGAAGACGGCCACCGTGGTTCCTCTCCACAAGCGATCTTCCTGCTCAACCCTTACGAACTACAGGCCCGTATCCTTACTGTGAAAAATCTCGAAAGTCATGGAAACTATTGTAAACAGACACATCGTAAAGTATTTTGAGGACCACCACCTGCTTACGTCGCACCAGTTTGGATTTCACAGAGGCCTCGGAACATCGGACGCTTTGCAAGCTCTGTGGGAACCTGGACACCCGTTCCCTACAGTTGCTCGTTGGAGGGCGGACATCATCTACGTATATGACCTCCACTAAAGTCCTCCAGGGAAGCATTATTGGACCAACGCTTCTCCTGGCGAACGTCAACGAAGCGCCAGATGTTCTCGCTGACGGCGCCAGCTTGGAGGTCTATACTGATGAAACAACTTTGTACAGCTTAGTCACCTCCCAGCAGACCCCAGACGTCGCCACGCAGTCTCTGCAGGTGTCCGTTGACTGACTGCACGAGCGGGGCCGTACATGGAAAGTAATGTTTGAACCGACCAAATCCCAGTCCATGACAGCCACCCTCAGACACGCGGGCTTAGATCTCCCCCACTCCTTTTTGGTGGCACAATCTTTCTAACTAACACTTGGGCACGCTGACTGAGAAGTAATTTGTGCCGGCAGTCTTTGTGACCTGATTCATAGTATCGCTGCTGTTGACGACAATGACTCTTTGCTTGATTGTCTCCTTCAGGAATTTGCAAGAATGTAGATGGAGTGGATACTACTAGTGTTCTTACTATAAATGATGCTGGTTCAGCGCAGTGTATGTCAGGATACACCCAGAGAGATCCCAAACCTGCATATTGCCAGAACGGAAGCTGGGTTAATTTCCCTATCTGCAAACGTAAGCCGTTTACAGTCGTCTATATAATTATCAAGCCTGCCTTCTAAATCATGATTATGTACAAAATTTAAAAAAGAGAAGAAACACAAGAGAACGAGTTATGTAGCAACTATCCACGACTGTAACAAGATGACCTAGCTCTAACACACCTCTCGTGGATAGTTGCTGCATAACTCGTTCTCATGTGTTTCTTCTCTTTTTAACATCAATTATTGCTCGGTATCCGATTTGAAATGCAAAGAATTCTATGTATTTATACACAACCAGAATGTCAGTGAAGCGTGAATGTATATGTCTTTGGTTTCTGGTTGGAAGATACAGACCCTTTTATCAGCTGTTTTGCCATGCCAAAACGCATAAGAGAAGGTGATATTGAATGGTATAATCTAATGGACATGGTTCAGAACGGCTCATCCATAATTTTATTTTACCCTCCTATATTCCAGTTCTTTTGCAGCGTTTGTGCAAGGACTTTGGGAAGCGTTCTTCTCCGCATATTTGTACATGGTCTTGTCCAAGTTCTACCATTCTTACTCATACTTCTCTACAGTACTATATTTGCCTCTTAACGCATCTATACAAAGCTCTTCATTCTGGTTTATTCATTAGAAGACAATGGTGAAAGTCATGAGAACACTTTCGAGTTAACTATTTCCTCCTTAAACTAAAATTTCGTGACTTTTCGACATAACTTTTCAAGGAGTTACGGTGCTCAACGAAAGTGTTCTTTTGGAAGAGAAACACTTCAACACATTCAATCAACATATCTACAGGATCAATTCGTGGGAGTAGAGTCTCAGTCTGGGTCGCCATCGCTTGACTCATCGCAGCTGAAACCGTTCCAAGTGACAGGTCGATCGACGCGATGTCGTATTTTACGGAGAAGCTTTTCCGCGTCCCTGATCGTCTTCGCTCTTACCTAAATGCCTTCTCCAACATCTCGGCGAAGACCATGATAAGTGCTGCAGCGCTGGTACTCATTACTGCCTCCCTCTCGCTCGAGGATACCCGGGAACAACAAACACAGACAATGCCAAGCATTTCAAATTTCCCCCGAGGGATATTATAGTTGTACCAGCACTTCCCTACTGCCGCGATCATATTCTCCTTTGCGACCAAGGATGCGTCAAGGCTGCTGGGAAAGGCGAGATCATTCACGTTGAGGTCTGGGCTCTGCAGTGGCTGAACGACTTCTATTTTGAACTTGTTCATCTTGCTCCGCTGCGCGAAGTGACGATTGTCACATCATCTCTGCGTTTTGGAGTTTGGACATCTTGCGAAACTGTTTGCATGCAGACTGGCGGTTCGGGGATGGTGAATATTTCAAAGCGCTATTTGAAAGCGCTACCTGCTCTAATCGTTTTCATATCCACCAAAATTGATCGCAAAGTTTTTGTTAACGGAGGAAGTCCGATAAATAAGTTATCCTTGGCTCGTATTCTTGCACACCTGATAAGCCGTCCTTATCTATACAGTGAAACGATAGTTGTGTGAAACTTCTGCTTGTCACTGCTGCTTTATAGCCGAATAGTACCTCCCTCTGGCATCAGTCCTCATTTTCTCATTTCTCTCTGATTGGTAATTCTGTTCAAACTTGGCTTGTAATTACCGGTACATATAATTATTTCCTATTGACTACTTTTCCACTTACTCTATTACCATCATAATATTGGGCATAAATGGCCGTTTGATTTGCAATGTAAAATAAAACTTCAAACAAAAAAACTTACTGTCCATGGTCTAAACGGTCATACTCAGTATGAGTCATAGTCACAGTGGAGTGCTCTTTTACTGAGACGTTCACTTTTTTTATTGAGTCTTGTTCGTATAGCTTCCCAATTAATTGATTTAGAATGGAAACAAGTTAAGAGTAACTCTCCACCACTGGAACTAGATACTATGTAGAGTCAGAAACTGTAACTCGTTTCCTTTTTATGTCCTTTTTTCCTTTCTACATTTAATATTGGCTCAATACCCGAGTTTCAAATTGCACACCATTAATTGATCTTTGAATTTTTGATCCAACAAAGCTGTGTAAAATGTTGCTTTGCGTCCTTGTCATTTTATAATTTTACATGATATTCTTTATTGAAAGTCTAGTCCTATGGTTAAACTAGACGGCAGCATTGCTTATATATCTGGTGAATTACAATATGAACAAGCAAACAAACAAACCTATTTTCTTTGTTTACTGGTAATTTGTCCTGCAGCCAACCAACCTGCAGCAACTTATACTTCAGGTGAGCGAAACATATTTTTGGATTTTGTTTCATGTGTTTTATAACCCTAAAATGTATAATGCATTCAGTGGTTTAATGTTCACTAGTTGAGGGAATGATAAAGGGGAAAGTTCGAAGAAATATTTGTTGGTAACCACCAGGTCCGAACCAGGGACCTATCGTTCCAGGCTAGTGATGATGCTCCCAATGGCAAATAAGGTGATGGTGGCAATGGCAAACAATGTGATGATGCGAATGGTGGCTGCATCACCAACGCGACTTTAGTTAGTGGTTTATGCCCTGACTGTGGAGCTGCTACCTCACATGTCTGCATTGCCCTGGATGTGGAGCAGCTACCTCACATGTCTGCATTGCCCTGGCTGTGGAGCTGCTACCTCACATGTCTGCATTGCCCTGGCTGTGGAGCTCCTACCTCACATGTCTGCATTGCCCTGGCTGTGGAGCAGCTACCTCACATGTCTGCATTGCCCTGGCTGTGGAGCTGCTACCTCACATGTCTGCATTACCCTGGCTGTGGAGCTGCTACCTCACATGTCTGCATTGCCCTGGCTGTGGAGCTGCTACCTCACATGTCTGCATTGCCCTGGCTGTGGAGCTGCTACCTCACATGTCTGCATTGCCCTGGCTGTGGAGCTGCTACCTCACATGTCTGCATTGCCCTGGCTGTGGAGCTGCTACCTCACATGTCTTGCTTCTTGTCTGGATAGGAGTTGATGAGGGGAGCATAGTGACAGGTCAGCACATCTGCAAAGCAGTGATGGGTACGAGTTTGTCTAGCTCATCAGTTCCATCATCTTGAACCACCCAGCCGGGATTACACTGGACTGGTGTCAGGCAGGCCACGGATGTGTAGTGTAGTGTGCTTATACCTAAGATAACCAGCTTGTGACAAGGAGAAGTCTGTGCGCCGTGGACGAGCTCTGAATCGTGGAGCAGGTAGTCATTATAATAGAAGACTTGACTACGTTCATTAGTGAGGCAAGGGACAATGTAGCCCGTCTCCGGCGGAGTGTAAGCAATCTCTCAAGCCTAGTCATGAAGCTAAGGCAAAAGGTAATATCACCGGAGGAGTCCATGACTTTGGCAGACAAAGCCAGTAATGACAAGAAAACGGCCAAATCATAGTCTCATACGACAAGTCAAAATCAAAGTAAAGGTTGAAGCTCGGCATGGGTCCCAAATCTGCTTTTGAGTAAACAAATTCTTTGAGCTTCGATACAATTTACCCTCACCGTAGAAAGAATACGACTCACTCTCAAGGCCATGGCCTGGACAAGCCATCCGTGTGACTCCGACGACTTTTTAGATCCGTAGACCCCTATCCCCTGTGAGAGGTGATAGAGGGCGGCGGTGACTCCTGCTGTCAAATATAATGGTTGAGCGTAAACATTCTAAACATACCACATGTCACAACGTATCTACAAGAAGGCGATTGATCGACGTGCATCACGTAGCTTCAGTGCAATGACTTGTTCTCACTGTAGTGTGTTTCAAAAGTCCAGACCTCTGGTTTCAAAAACCGTTAGGCCAGCATCTATACCACATCAAATTTGTGATCACTCTGTGCATACAATTTTCGAAATTGGGCGTCTGTTATCCCACCGCTTAGACATTTACATGAGAAAAATTGCGTGAGCTGCTTGAGCAATATTCCGAAGAAATTTCTCAAAAAGCTCAAACCAAATTTGAATTATTCGAAAAAGTCTAGAGGTCTTTATTTTTGAAGCGCACTATAACACTGTTTCTGTGTCTCGTGCATGTACCGGTAAGTGTTCACGTCCGTGAGCCAGTCAAATGTCAGGGTAGTCGGCCGACAGCACCAGTTCCAACGTTTGGATAAGCCACCTTCTTGAATATTTTATCCGCACAGCTTGATTGCCAAAAAAAAACAATGAAAAAAGGTTGGATTTCAAGGTTATAATTTAAACCCACAGCTGGATGGTCCGCAGAAAGCATTCACAACCACACGGCACATATGAATAGCGGATTTCTGATTAAATAATCGATATAGGCTTCCAGTTTTAAAACACGGGAGAGGGCCAGAAACCTGGCCCAAAATACATATCCGTGCACTTTAGAACAGCCTCTGCTCGTATTACAGTCTTGGTCACGGACGCCAAGAAGGTCGCGGAAGAATCGTTCTGGCCTGACGAAGTTGGCCGTACTGTAAGAGAGTGGCGATTTGGTACAGAGGCCTGGGCCACCAAACCCGTTAAAGCATAATAATGGCTCACACCACCGACCCACTCCCCTTGAACCTGCAAAATGCTCAACACACCAATCGGATCAGCAAGAAGCTTAATGCACACGCCGCTCCGTTTCACCCACACACCCACCACCTGACCCAGCAGAGTAGTACACTTAACATTGGCCACATCAATATACGCAGTCTATGCCACAAACTGTGTGAAGTTGAAAGCATAATGATAGAACAGCAACTGGATATACTAGCCGTATCCGAGACCTGGCTAGATAACAGTGTCTCTGACCTGGAAGTGCATATCCGTGGAACCATCCTTTACCGTAGAGATAGACAATGCATGACAAGCTGCTCGTGTCTCACAGCATGCGGCCCCTGCAAGAAAGGTGGCGGTGTGTGCCTTTATGTGAAAGAAACCCTCAGAGTTTCCCTGGATGAACGTTACTCACATGATGCCCTAGAGCTTCTTTGCATACGATGTACGCCACAAAGAGGATCCGAGATGTTGATCGGCTGCATCTATCGCCCGCCAGGTTAGTCCATTGACTGTCTTGCTGCAGCTGTAGACTGCGCCGATTGCGAAGAGCTGTACTTGTTGGGAGACCTCAATGTGAACTTCCTGGACAAGCAGTCAAGTACCTATAAAGCCCTATACCACACCATCCTCCTGCCCCTTAATCTCTCCAACTTAGTAAACGCCCCTACACACATTACACGGCAAACCCAAACCTCTATTGACTGCATCCTCACGAATTCGGAAGACGCCACAACCGCCTCAGTCTTTGACTGTGAATTCTCTGACCATCGCACCATCACAACTGTAACAGTTTTCCCCTGTTCTCTATAACTTTACACTCCCTCGCACCTCATGCGTCTTACGCCTGTCTATTAGCACCTTCATTGGCGCCATTGCCACATGTATACTATCACATTTTGCATATAACTGGTCGAGGCACGCTCAACCAGGCCTCTTACTTTTCAAGTTTGATTAAACCTGTTACACTGGTAGCAGAGGATGGTTTCTACTCTGCTTTTGGCAGGTGTTCTGGTCGCTCTGCTTACGCTCCTCGTACTCGTCGTTCGGCTGATAAACGATATCAAGACCGCTCAGCGCGTTAGCCAAGGAAACCGAACGATACATCGGAACTCGGAACCGTGGGAGCCAACACCCCGCCTTACGAAAGAGCCGCCTGTGTTTGGAGGAGATTCCGCTACATTCAAAGAATGGACGTTTGCAATGGACATGGCCCTACGGTCGTTGGCACTCCCAAATGCGGCACAGAGGGTCGACTACGCGGCAGGATTTTTGACTGGAAACGCTCGTCTTTGGTTGATAGCGGCATTGGAAGCTAACCAAGTGTTTTCCGACTGGCCTGCTCTGAAAGCGGCACTTGGCGATGTGTACGGACCACGGCACAACGAGGAAACATCGCGTATGGGACTAATTTCCGCAGCGCAGCGCGGGTCGCTGGACGCATACATTGCTGCTTTCACTCGCCTCAGCCTGCAAGTGCCGGAAATCGACCACCACACCAGAGCGCTGCTGTTCGTCAGGGGTCTAGTGCCGCACATCCAGCGACAGGTCATGCGTGAGCATCCACGTACCCTGGAGCAAGCTGTCATGGCAGCAAACACCGTGGAGCAGTCGTCAGGGCCACCGGCGTCGGGGCCACCAGCCAGTAGAGAGTCGCGTTCCGTGCCCAGCTTCCGTGGTCAGGGCCTCCGCAAGCTGACGGACCAAGAGCGTGTCCAACTGCGAGCAATGGGACACTGCTTTGCTTGCAGGAAGCCAGGCCACCTCGCTAAAGACTGTACTGAGGGTGGACAGCGCTACCCAAACGCTGGTCGCCAGTAAGAAAGGGGGTGCGCTTACTGGCGACGACCCAAGCGCCCACGCCGGTACCAGTCGCTAACCGGTTCGGAGCTCTGGAGGTTGAAGACGTTGCTCTCCAGGAACCTACGGAGCCGGAGACACCCATAGCTGTAGGAAATTGTCCCGTTGCAGAAAGGTGTCATGTCAGCAACGTCAGCGTCGGCAATGAACCTGAACACGACCTACTGCGCATACAGGGAAAGATCGGCGGTCGCCGTGCAGTGATGCTGATAGATTCCGGTTCGACGCATGACTTCATTGCAGACAGTTTTGTTCGAAAGCATCATCTTGACACGGATGCAAGCTCAGCAGTGCTGAGCGTAACATTGGCGGACGGCTCGACCAGCGAGGTCCCGCAGATTTCCACACGCACGCTAAGGGTGACAGTCGGGGGCTTCAGTGAGGAACAGCACTTTACTGTGTATCCCCTGACTCGCTACGACGCTATTCTTGGCAAGCCGTGGCTTACAAGGAACAACCCCAGCATCAACTTCCGTACGAACGAAGTTCAGTTGGACGGTGAGCCCTTTGTTGCCAAATTGCCTTCAGCTAACCCGCCGACAGCCGACCGGCCATCTGTGGAAAGCATGTTTATCAGTGGCCGACAAGCTCGTCATGCCCTGAGGAGTGGAGCCGAGGGGTTTCTTGCATGGGTCACTGCTGCAAACGAGGAGAATCGTTCCGGGCCACAACTCCAGGAATCAGAGCAACAAGACATCCAGAACCTGCTCAAGAGGTACCAGGATTTATTTCCAGACGAGCTGCCGAATGAGCTTCCACCGAAGAGACCAGTCGACCATGAAATCCAGATAGAAGATGGAGCCAGACCACCGTCTCGACCCGCCTACCGCCTGCCGAAACCAGAGATGGACGAGCTCCAGTCACAGCTATCAGAATTACTTGAGAAGGGATTCATTGAGCCAAGTA